TTGGCTCTGTAGGAAGGGCCTCATCTCTTTTGACCTGCTCCTGAGTGATCTTTATGAGGCTTGGCATCTCTCTCCCCCCTTTTCTCTGCTTCTATCCCTTGCTTTTTTAATGATCTCTTTTATATGTCAAAAGAGATTGATTTAAGACACCCCCTACATTAATCCTGTCTCATGAGTATAAAAAAGATAACCTGTTCTCAAATGGGATTATAACCACAGGCACAGAAGTTAGAATTCACAGTACGTATTTTTGGGGACACGATTCATCCATAACACCTGTGGAATGCAGTTCTACTCTTACCCACATGGTTTTGCCATGAGTCAAAATCCACTTGACAGCAGTAGGTTTCAGTGGCTTGTCTTTCCAGTCCCTTGAGTGGAACTCAATCACCTGAGAATTTAGAATTGTTTAAATACGTCCAGAACATAATTATGAGCAGTAATATCTTGCCTACTGAACAGCCTTCATTTTGTTTGTAAACTTGGTACACTTTTTTCAAAAATACACATGAATATTTTTGTGCTTATAATCTTGCAGTGGTATGTGAAGTTCCCTTGTCCTTCCCTGTTTCCCTTATTTATATATTTACAGTGAGAAACTGACAGGCAACTCCTATCAAATAATTGGCTAAGGCATTTGACTGCTAACCAGAAGGCTGGCGGTTCAAATTCACCAGCCACTCCTCGGAAGGAAGATGGGGCAATCTACTTCCGTAGTGATACTGCCTCGGAAACCCAAGGAGGGGTCGCTATGAGTCGGGTCGGACTCGACGGCACATAACAACAACAACAACAACATATTAGTAAAGCAGTGTTACAAATGTTATTGGCGAGTGTATAAGAGCTTTGGTATTTCTTTTTTTCTCTCTCAACATTTGGGACTACTTTTGAACTTTGAGGTAGGTGTCAGATTCTTAAAAGGAATTTAACAGATCTTAGGATATGGAGTAAGATACTCATTAAGTTTCACAAACAAATACAAGATGAAACAGTATATCTCACTTTGTTGGACGCAATCATTGATTATACGGGCGGAAGCCGTGTGGGGAGCAAAGGTAGAGCTCCACCTCCGTCCACCTGCTTCAGGTGGTATAACCCTCCTCTACTGTGCCCTGCCTCTTCCCCGTTGGGACCCTGTCCGGAGCCTTTGTCTCTGGTCCTTAACCCGATATACAAAAATTCACAAAACTAAGGATTCTTGCTACATGATTTTCATAAACAATAAATAATGTGTATTAGTTTCCAACTCCGAGTGAAAGCACTTTATATCTGAATACCCTGGAATATGCGCGTTGGATCAGTAGTCCTAGGCATCCCTGAAATAGTATTTTTGCCTCTGGGAGCGTGGAGAGCTTCAGGGAGTGGAAATGATGTCTCTAAACCCTGGTGATTAATTGCAGACAACACGCCACAGAAATCTGCCTCTGGCCATTAGGAAGGCGCGAAGCCCCTAGCTGTGCCGAGGAGCCTGGGATGCCATTTTGCAGTCCCCGATACCGAACGCTTGGGCCTTTGCTGCGGGGAGGCGGCGTGCCTGTCCCTGCGGCCTGTGGAATGCGAGAACTACATTACTCAGAAGGCTGTGCGACCGACGGCGGCGGCTTCAGCCAATGGCAGCCCAGAACAGGCCATTACTGGGCAAGCGAGCGGCGTTGGGGCGGGACTTCTGGCGTCTCTTTTGTGGCTTTCGTCCTGGCCGCACCCACCTGCTGGGTGGGTACCATGGTGACGTAACCGAGAGTCGGGAGAGGACGCTTTGTCCCGACCTCACAAAGGCGGGTCTGAGCTTCGGCGGCGGCGTCTTCTGGGGTGACCCACCCTGAGGCATAACCAAGTGGGGAGCGCTGTGCCCAGGTCCCCGCCCATCGCCCGCCGCGCCCGGCCTCGCTCCGCCCATCGGCTCCATGGCGGCCTCCGCTTTCAGGGAGGCGGCTCAGGTGGGTGAGCGTTCTCCAGGCCTCCGCGTCCTCGAGCCCCGAGTGGGCCGCCCGCTCAGGTCCCTGCCGCCCAGGCCTGGGTCCTGCACAAGGGGGCGCTGCTGGTGGGGACCCCGTTTCCTGAGAACTAGCGTGATGAGGGGTCGGGGAGAGGCCCCGGCAGAGGGACCGGCAGGGAAAGGCTGCAGGTGCGACTGAGCCGGAGCAGCAGGGAAACCCGGGGTCCGTGGTGTGTCCGCCGGAAGCCGAGTTAAGAATCGCGCTCGATGGCAGGCTGGGGAGTCGTGTCTTCATTCTGAGGACGCTGGGAGCCGTGGAGGGAGGTGGACGAGAGGGAGATGGTGAAAAAGCTGCTGGCGAAAACCAGACGGGACAAAGGGGGATGACAGGGAGGTCCTGGGAGCCGGAGGCCTTCTCCAAGGTCACGCAGCTGGTAGGAGCAGCCTGAGGACGAGAAGCAGCGATGACGCAGTGATGCCGAGCTTCCGTGGCTCCAGTGCTGGACAGGGGGACGGGGAGGCCGGAGCCTGGGGTCACCTGCCCCTCACAGGGGTGATTACGGACCCTACACGGGGGAGTGGAGGGTGTCCCGCAGCCTCACTGGTCCTGCCCGCACCACTGTGGTCTCTGGGACTCGTCAGCTGCCGCTTTTCTGGCCTTGAGTCTGGGGACCCAGAGCACAATTTCAGCTTAGGGTACTGAGCCCAGTGAGGCGATCTGTGGCCTGATGATCGTTATTTTAACCAATGGAATGAGATGTGGAAGATTGTCGTGGGCTTAGGTACCCGTACCTGCAAATGCTTACAGGCACGGCTGAGCTGGGAGTGTCAGAAGCACAAGTCTCCACTCTTTCACGTGGGAACAGAGAGCAGTGGGCAGGAGTCAGGCTTGGAATGGCTCCCTGAGCACTTGGGTGTCTTTTCTGGAGTTTATGGGAGCAGTGGGAGTTTGGGCCAGAGGAAGGAAATGGTCTGCTCCAAGTCTCAGATTCCCTGTGGCTGCGCCATGGAAACCAGACCCTGCATATGGGGGGGG